TCAATCGAAGCACCGGTAAATCGACGGTGTTGGAAAAACTACCGGTAATATATGCGTAAAAATATATCAGTACAATATCGACACCACCGTGTCGAAAAAAACAACAATTTTCGACGCTCTAGCGTCGAAATATGTCACATTTTTCGACATCAACATGTCAATATTTATCATAATTTTCGACATCAATATGTCGATATTTCGCTGTAATTTTCATTCTGTATTACTAATTTAACCTTCTTATGTGCAGGTTCGAAAAAAAACTACCAAGGATATATATATTAAACAAATACATTCGAAGTTCCGAAGATATGTTGGAGATATAATAAATGTTGCGTCGGATGGTCATTGTGGATTTCGGGCGGTTGCATCAATGATGGGCTTTGGGGAAGATAATTGGAGTCTAGTACGAAGAGATTTGGTCGATGAGCTCATTACGAATGATGCTATCTACATGAATATCCACAAAGTTCGAGATACGTTTGATGAATTGGAAGCAAAAATGAGGTGGTCGGTTACACCTGCCCCTTATGAAAATTGGATGTCGTTTCCGGATATGGGTCATTTTATTGCGTCTAAATATGACATTGTGCTCGTACTGATAACGCAGCTGCAGTGTCTTACATTTCTCCCACTCTGTGACCCCGTGCCAGATGGGCAAAGACAAGAGCATGGGATATCGCTTGTTGATGGAAATCATTTTGTGCGTCTTGTTTTGAAGAATAATTGTCCTCTTCCCCTTTAGCAGATTATTGGAGGCGATACCACCACCCTAGAGCTAGTGCTTGGAAAACTATTGATATGGAGTCTAGGATTATTGCTTTTAAAGAGCTAGTTAATCGTAATTATGTAGCATTACAAGAGACCATATGTATTGATATGTAGAATTGGTGTATTATATATATATATATATATATATATATATATATATATATATATATATATATATATATATATATATTTGATGAAATAATTAGTTAACTCGTGCATTATAAAAACATCCAAAATCATCAAAAAACAAAAACATCCTAAATCATCCAAAATCATCCAAAAAATAAAAAAAACATCCAAAAAATAATCAAAATCATCCAACTATCCACTTATTTCTAAGTTTCTTCCTCTGAAATGATAGTAACGGTGGTGGAGCGGTCGACGATGATGGAGCGATCGGCGATGGTGCATCCGATGGTGGAGCACTCGACGATGGTGGATCCGGTGGTGGAGCAGTCGACGACGGCGGTGAAGTAGGAGTGTCACCAGCAAACAAATCAGCAATCCCCTCTAACGTCATCACCATCTCGGTATATCCATCATCAGTATCTTGCTCGCGTATGCGAGCCAATGTAGTCCTCACCATCGTAATAATCTAAGAATCACGGGCCTCTAGTAGTGGCGAGCGAGCTATCTGGCGGCGCCCGGGTGCTTGCGGTCGAGAAACTGGAAGCGTACTGAGTTTTGTGATGGTCTGCTCCCTATTCCACTCCATATAGTCGGGTGTAGTGTCCGGCTCTCCTAATCCCACTGGAACTGATCTGGACCGCTCATTAAGCAAGTGATCTTCCCATCGCTCAGAATATATGTTCTGGTACGCCGCAAATACAGGATGAGGTGTGCCCCGCTTCTGCTTCCTAAACATAGCGTCCGACATGTACGGTTGGCCGGGAATCTTTTGAACACGCCCAAATTGTCTCAAGACCCTGTCCGGATGGTAAGGCTCCAAAGTACGCATGTACTGTAACATGCCACTAAACCACGTGGACTCTGGCATTAGGAAACCTGTCACGGAGGACCTCATACGTGGCCCATATAATCTGCGACGGTAAATAAATTAAAATGAAGAAACAAAAAAAAGTAGTCAAAATGAGTTAAAATTTAAAAATTGAAAAAACTAAAAAAAATAAGAAAGTAGTCGAAATTAGTTAAATGAGTACCTCATCGGAGCTCAGATCATCTATCAGAGTACGCAGATCACGGGCTCTGTCATTGCTTGAGTCGGACTTCAGTGGATATACCCATCGTGGACAAAATCTGTCGGGCGATATGATTCTCAAACTGCGGCATCAAGTCTGGTATTTGTGGTCCTCCGTGGCCAGCCGATTGGCTACTAGATCCACCAACTTCGGTGGTCGATGTGAGCGGTGGATCCTCAGGTATGGACAATGAAGGCTCAACATCGGTAGGTAAACGTGTACGATTGGCCGGAGGATCGACCCGAGTAGCTTGAGAATCGCCACGTCGAACTTTACGATTGACCAATGCCTTTCTCTTGCGCTCAGAAGCAGTTTGGGGAATACGCGGTTCCACTGGAAAAATATAAATATAATATTAATCATTTATAAAAAAAAAAAAAAAACTTTGCAAAAAAATCAGTTTACCAGTCAATTTTCGATATCACAGTGTCGATATTTGTACACAAAATCGACATAAGCTCTGTGTCGAAAATTGTACACAAATTCGACACAGCAATGTCGAATATTGCTCCAAAACTCGACACCGGGTTTATGTCGAAATTTTGTACAAATATCGACATTAAGATGTCGAAAAAAGTTCCAATAATCGACAATTGTTTGCTGTCGAAATTTGATGAAAAAATCGACACCAGTATGTCGAAAATTTTCCAAAAAATCGACAAGTACAGGTCGTTTTTTGTAAAACCGCAACTCCTTCAACAATAGTGCTACAATCGAACCCTAGAATCATCAACTATGTGTTCTAAAATGACTTGAATTCATTATTCTAACAATAAAATCATGTTTATCACATTTATTTCTCAAAAAAAAGTTAATTCAAAAAGTAATTTCCTTACTTGCTTTTCGTGAGATTGTTGTGGCGGGGTTGGGGCAACAACGGACTTCAACGGCGATGGGGAGGTGGTGGACTTCAACGGTGACGACGACGGCGATGGGGCGACGACGACGGCGACGGGGCGAAGGTTGAGTGCCGCAATTGATTTTTTTGTTTTCTTCTTCCCTTTTTCCCTCCTCGTTTTTCAATTCTCGATTCAATTTCCTTTTTCTTTTTTTTTTTTATGGGGTAATGGCAAATAGGCCCATGACAAGGGCACTTAATTAAAAAAGGGACATCCAACTTTTTTGTTTTTCAAATAGACCCACCCCATTCAAACTTATTTGCGAATAAGGAAAATCCCTTTATATATACCAAAATTACCCCCAATTCATTGAAACCCAATTCAACTCCAATTTCATGATTTACAACCCAATTTAGCCCAATTTCATCAATTAACCAATTTTAACCCTAATTTCAATTTTGACCCCAATTTTAACCCTAATTCTTATCAATTCCACCCATTATGCTCTAACTTCTTAAATATTACACATTGACCCCGGATTTAAACAAATATATCACATTAACCCCCAAAACTTTTTTTTTTTTTCAGAAAATAAATTTTTTTTCTGAAATATTTTTTTTCCGGCCAGATTCCGGCGTTGACTTTTTTTTTTTTTTTTTTTTTTTTTTTTGAATTTTCGTTTTCCTGAAATTTTTTTCCGGTCGGTAAACGGTCGTTGACCGCCGGGTCTCCGGCGTTGACTTTTTTTTTTTTTTTTTTTTTTTAATAATTTTGGTTTTTCTTAAAAAAAATATTTCAATTAATTTTACTGTCTTGGCTGCTAAATTACTGTCTCCGGCAGCTATTTAACTGTCGGAGACTGTAATTTAACTGTTAATTGACTGTTTTTTTTTTTTCTTCAAAAATATTTTTAATTAATATTACTGTATTCGTTGCTAAATTACTGTCTCCAGCAGTTATTTAACTGTCGGAGACAGTAATTTAACTGTTAATTGACTTTTTTATTCTTAAAAAAAATATTTTTAATTAATATTACTGTATTCGTTGCTAAATTACTGTCTCCAGCAGTTATTTAACTGTCGGAGACAGTAATTTAACTGTTAATTGACTTTTTTATTCTTAAAAAAAATATTTTTAATTAATATTACTGTATTCGTTGCTAAATTACTGTCTCCAGCAGTTATTTAACTGTCGGAGACAGTAATTTAACTGTTAATTGACTTTTTTATTCTTAAAAAAAATATTTTTAATTAATATTACTGTATTCGTTGCTAAATTACTGTCTCCAGCAGTTATTTAACTGTCGGAGACAGTAATTTAACTGTTAATTGACCTTTTTTTTTTTTTAATTTTTTTCCTTACAAAAAAATTTGTTTTAATTAATATTACTGTCTTGGATGTTAAATTACTGTCTCCAACAGTAATTTAACTGTCTTAGACAATAATATTAATAATATTACTGTTCGGAAAAATAATATTCATAATATTACTGTCCCAAACAGTAATATTACTGTCTGAGACAGTAATTTAGTAGTCAAGACAGTAATATTAATTAAAATATTTTTTTTAAGAAAAAACAATTCAAAAATTCAAAAAAAAAAAAAAGTCAACGCCGGAATCTGGCCGGAAAGAAAACATTTCAGAAAAAAAATTATTTTCTGAAAAAAAAAAGTTTTGGGGGTTAATGTGATATATTTGTTTAAATTCGGGGTCAATGTGTAATATTAAGGAAGTTAGAGCATAATGGGTGGAATTGTTAGGAATTATATTATTGAGGGTATTTTAGGCTAAAGACATGGGGATGGGCTTAATTGAGAGACTATTTTTTTTGTGGACTAAAATGCATTTAAGTCCCATGTGATGAGCCTTTTTGCCATTTGCCCTTTTTTTATTAATTTTTCTTTTTTAAATGGGTCTTGCAAAAGGAAATTAATAAAATAATTTTTATTTTATTTGTATTTTATTAAGGTTATTATAGTCTTTTTATACTGAATTTAATAAAAAAAATTAATTTGGTCTTGCCCTAAGTAATTTTCATCTTGCAAATAGTCGGTGCCATAAATAAATTGTAGGCCTATTGGGTTGGCCCAATTAGACATATTAGGTTTGTTTTTAGGCCGGTAATCGACCGTGTAGATGAAAACCCGACCCGAACCCAAATTGCTATTCTAAATCTAATTTGCTTTACCCGTTTCGATGAAAACCCGACCCGAACCCATATCACTATTTCTAATCAAACTATCGTCTCCGTATTTTGCTTAATCCTCTGCAAAAACACTCAAAATCGAATTCGCAGCGAGGTTTTATTTATCGACGACACCCATTTGGGATATCTTCCTCGACGGAGAACGACGATTGAGAAAAAAAAAACCCGGTTTACAGGTAATTGAAAAGCCGCCACAATGGTGAAGACGACGAAGGGAGGCAAAACGATGAACCCTACCGATTCCTACCGCAAAGAGATCCGCAAAAAGGAATTGAAGCGGGTAATTTTCCGTTTCTATTCTCTTTTGATGTAATTTTTCCCCCTTGTTGATTATGTATTTTGCCGTCCTGTCGAAAATTTAGGTTATTTGTTCAATATGAAATCATGTGTGGGGATATTGTTGGAACAATTTTTTTTTCTTCCTTTCGTTTTGGATTATTCGATTTTGATTTATAAATTCAAGTTTAGTTAGTGTAAGTTTTCACTTAATTGAAATAATTGTTTTTTTTATAGCAATACCTATGGATGTTTCTGTATGAAAAAAGTTGAGAAATTGGGCATGTGTCGTAGTTGAGTTTTATTTCTACTGCACATTTTTAGAGTGATGATCGCATAACAGTTTTAATGTTTTATGATTCAAATTTGTTGCTTGTGTCGTAAAAAGTTTCAAATTGTTAAGTATTTTGAAGAATAGTTGTACATTCTAGAGCTTCTAAAATCGTTGTTGATTTTATTGTACAGAACAAGAAGGAGAGAAAGAAGGTTCGGGAAGTTGGAATCTTGAAAAAAGATCCCGATACTTTGAAAGACCAGATCCAGAAGCTAGAATCAATGAGTAAGTTCTAAACCCTAAAGAGTCGAGCTATGTTCTAATTTTGCGTAGATTGTGATTTCTTGGTACATACAGCAGGGCAATTGGAATTATTCTTGTGGTTTAGCTTCATGGACTTTTTAATTTACTACGGAGTTGCATGTGATAAAAATTTCGGTCTAGCAATTCATGAATTTAATTTGTTGCTGTCTTTAGTATGATCCGGGGTAGAGGTGTGGTGGGTTGGTGTGGTGGAAGTAGTAGTATTCCTTGGATGAGTTAAGTTGGAGGTATTACACTAAGTCAGCATATTAAGTTCCTGACATATTAATAACTTCATCTTCGTTCCCCTTGCTCTTGTATTGTGTATTACAGCGAAGCCAAATAATCAGCAAATGAGATATTAATTTGATGCTGCAGTAGCAGCTGTAGTTTTAGCTATGTTGAATTTTTATTTTTATTATTACTTTTTTTATTTCTACGCAATCTGTCACCTGTTAACTTTCATCATGTATAGGTAGATAGGTAAGTTTATTCCCGTGAAATAGTTTTGGGAGAGCACTGACCTTTAAGCTCCTAGTGGTGTCTTCGGAAGTCTGACTCCTAACTTCCGAAATATGAAGTGAGGAAACCAAGCATATGCAACCAATTGACGTCTAGTTTTGTGGTAGTTCTGACTTCTCTACTAATTTTCTTTTTAAATAAAATATTATAATGACGCACAACCTAAAAATGTCTTGTTGGGAATTCTACACACACATGTATATTGGAAAAATATCCGTCCCTACCTTTCATTCCTTTGAGTTCAGAATATGAATGGGACCCAATTTGATACATTCTTGAACTTATGGTAATAATTCTATATGTTTCTGCATGTTTTGCTTAATTTTGAAAGAGTAGATAAAATTTATTAGCACCTTTTTAGTTGTTGTATCTGGCCCAGAAATAAGTTAGTACTTAGTTCCTGTACTCTTACTAATATGGATCATGCTTGCCATCTATTTGGTTGATGTCTGAAATGTAGTCATTTCAAACTAAATGGTATCTTTTTGTTCACTTTGGATCTCTCCGTCTCTCTAAAGAGCTTGGGACAGATACTTGACTGATATCTATTGTAGTTATTTCAGACTTAAGTGTCTCTTTTCACTCTTCCTAGAGAGAAAAAGAGAGTGATGGAGTGGGAGGGGGACGGGTGTGGGGGTTACTGGATTAGGGAGGGAGTGGGGGAGAAGGTGGGAGTGGGTAGGGAGGGGAGATTTTTATTGTTCACTTGTATTTCGATATCTGTTTAAGCAATATTTGCAGAGAGATGGAGGGAAGAGGGCAAGGAAATTCTCACTGTTCACTTATAGCGATCTTTATTTTATTTCCTTGCAGAGGCAGATGGTGCTTTGGACAAAGCGAGAAAACACAAAAAGAGACACCTTGAGGATACACTCAATCTTGTGATTAAGAAGAGGAAGGTAATTTCTTAATTTAAGTCATCTGATGTATTCTGTATGACATTGTTTTCTGTTTTCCAATTCAGATGGACTAATAGGCTTGTGTGAATTATAGCTGATGAGTTTTAATTTGGAGAACTGGTTATGCAAGAAGCATGTATTAAATTGAGCAAATGTGCTAAGATAATAACTGTTCCGTTTTATCTTTAAGTAGGTCTTTTGATTCAACAAAAAATATATGGAGATTTTAGTTTGCTAGTAATTTAATATAAAGTGGATTCAGATTTCCTTGCATTTATTTTGTTGAAAACATTATGTTCGATAATACATTTTGATTTTATGGGTAGGTTTGGAGTTATAGATTGAAACTTCAGCTTGCTCCTCTGTCATAATTATCACTTCAAGTTAGATGAGCAAATACTAGTATATTAGTGAAAGTTGAAGTTGGGTTACGACCATCGTTGTGGATGATACATGTTGATGTGAAATTTGTACCCGGTAAGGAGAGAATCGGCAAAGCAACCTAAAAGAATTAGTCTGAATGTGTAGACCTCACTAAATACAGGACAAATAACGCTTACCACCTAGAAATATTTGTATGGTGCATTTCTATTCCTTCTAATCCTTATAATTATTGCCAAAACATAATCAAACTTGCAGTCAATTTTTCTAATTATTGTTATGATAACAAAACTGAGAATTTATTCATGTTGTTTGTAAAGTTGTCTATGTCAGGAATTCTATAGAAAAAGTTCTGTGCTACTTGCTAGTTCCTTTCATGACCAAATCTCATACTATGGTCTTAAGATATTCAAAGAAAATAAAAGATAGAAACTTGTCGTTCTAATGAAAATGTGAAGCGAATGAAGGTTGAAGATCCAACCAATATGTTCAGTTCAGAGTGGAAAAAACTATTTTCCCGCTCTTTCCCCAGAAACATCAATTTACAATCAAGAATCTATGGGCCAGATCTTTATAAAACCAACCAACGGATACTTGTAAAAATATTTCTAATCTAACTTTTTGGCTTTAATTTCTGGATTTCAGGCTGAGTCGTCGAATTCATAAAAATGGTCAAATGCCCTAAGTAAAAGATGTCAGATAAAGAAGAAAATAAGTACTTTTAACCTTATTAGTTTCAACAGGTTAGGGTCACCTAATTAGGATACCTTTGGACTTTGTGGGTTTTGCGTTTCTTAGGAATCAAACTTGTAGATTTTTTTATCTGTGTTGCAAGTTATCACATAGAGCCATCAAATACTTGGAAGGAGAGTATTTTATTCCTTTAGAATAAAATGTAACTGATTTTTTTTTTTTTTTTAATAATTGTGAAGGAATATGAAGACAAAATGAAGGAAAAGGGTGAAACACCAGTTATGTTCAGGTGAGGAAACGTACATTCTTTAAATGAAGAAAATAAATATTATGACAGGTTATGGATATTCATGTTGCATTCTTAGTCTTTTATAAGTTTAGTATTGCTACACTTTATGCAGTCACTTGGGACCTGTTCGGAGGCGAACTACTGCAGAAGAGGAAGAAAGAGCCAAGAATCCCTTACCTGAAGTAAGCTCATTTTGATTTTGATGGTTTTATTGTATTGAACTCTTTCCTGATTTGTCGACAAACATTTAGAAACTCATTGGTGCAGGACTCGGTTTATTATCACCCGACTCTGAATCCTTCTGGAGCCCCTCCACCTGGAAAACCTCCAATGTTCAAGTCATCTATAGGTATGTAATAGGCCCTTCTTTTCGTATTCCAAAAAGATTATTCTTATTTTCTATCTATATCTCCTTTCGTCTCTCTTAGATTTTGCTATGTACTTTGTGATGCAGGACCGAGGATACCCTTACCAGAAACTTCAGCAAGTAATGTTGCATCATCATCAAAGTCAGAAGGAGAGGATGCCACATTAATGGTCCCCCCTTTGCCGCCGCCGCCACCTCCTTTGCCCAGTACAGGCTTGGATTCTGGAGATGGCTCTAATATGCCCGTGTCTCTGCCTTTGCCGCCTCCACCCCCAATGCCTCCAAAGCCGTCAATGGCAGATGCTTCATCATTATTGCCGCCGCCACCTCCTCCACCCGGACCACCGCCTAAAGAACTACTTGCTAATCGTCCCCCTCTTCCTCCACCTCCACCCATCCACCAATCTGCCCATCCACCTCCCCCTGGTACTGTTGGTGGTATTGAGAGAACCGCTAAGTCAGATGATCCAACCTCCAGAGATTCAGTTCAGGTATAATTCTTGCATGTAAATAATCACCTATATTACTTCAGTATTTAAATGACATGGTAATTGGTATGTACGCAATTCACTACTGCGTCATTCGTCTAGCGAGGGTAGCAAGTATATTACCAGTAGCTAATCGGTGGGAGGTTCTGGGTTCAATCCTGCATTAAACAATTAATGCATTCAATATACTATACTCTTCGTCTTCTTATCATCGTTTTAATACCATTCCTCTTTGTTTATTTCTTCATGAAAGTTGTGTACTTGAGATCTTTTTTGCCAAAATTTGTCATTTTGAAGGTTTGGGATAGTTTGCACTGTTTAGATTCTTTGTTAAATACTTTCTATAATATAGGTTTTAATGCTAATTTTAATAAATTAAATGGCTATTCTTTTTTTTTTTGTATAAACTTGAGTACACTATTTAATTCTAGCTGATAGTTGTTACCTGCTTGGTTATCTTTTAGATGCCAACCAGTCTTCCACCACTGCCTCCACCAGGTGGGCTGCCCTCACAGTTCATCATGAATCAGCATGAAAACTCATCTTCCGAATCCGATGTAAGAACTCATTTTGATGCCAAAGATATGCTGAAGATGGCTCCTCCACCACCACCGCCACCAATGAGGCAACAGCAGCCAGTGCACGGTGCTCCCATGGGCCCGAATTTTCAGCACGACATGCTTCCTCCGGGCATTTTACGTTTTCCACCACCACCGCCGCCTCCAACAGATATGCGGCCCCCGTTGCCCCATATTGCTGGGCAACCTGTGCCACCTGGAGTCATGGCACCACTATTACCAAGACCGCCTTTTGGACCTCCACCTATGATGAGACCACCGCTTCCACCCGGCCCACCTCCTATTCCACAAGATGACCTCATCATGGCTCGACAATCTGCACCTCACAAACCATCGTATGTGAAATCAGCTGCATCAACCGTTGTAAAGAGGCCTCTGGCACAGCATACTCCAGAGCTTACATCCATGGTAAGTAGTCAATCTGCATTTATCTTCTTTTCTCAAGTCCTAAAACCTCACATTGAATTTTGAAGTTTTTGACTAATTAGAAAATGCCAAGTCACTTCCTTTTACTTGTCGAGTACAAAGTATAAACTTAACATTGTACGAAAATTACTGTGAGAAAGGCTATTTGGACTGCCGATACAATGGGATGATCGATATTCACTTTGATATTCTGTTATTCATGTATCTGAAATCTTTTGGTATGTTAATTAATAGTTGCAATAATTAGATGGGAAAGAGGATTTTTCACAAATGGGATCCAATTCTCCTCACCAATCTTACAATCTTTCTGACTTCTGAAATCGAAGAATTAAATGGACTAATTTTACTTTATTGTTCATAATAGACGAATAAAATGCCTTGTTACATACTATTTCTATCTCATGAAAGTCGGTAAACTTGGTATTGATCTTTTGCAGGTTCCTGCATCTGTACGAGTGAGAAGAGAGTCCGCCCTGCCAAAACCGAAGCCAAAGGCGTCGACTTTGTTGCCCACAAATCGGCCAATTGTAGCTCCACTACGGCCTCTCGTGAAGAAAGAGTCGAGTAGCAATTCCTCTGCACCAAAACAGAAAAGTATTGACGATTCGTATTCGGCTTTTCTAGAGGACATGAAAGCACTTGGTGCTCTTGATAGCTAATGAGCCTCGAACGCAACGGGATTTCTTCGTAACTTTAAGTTGGGATGTTCTCATTTATGTTGTGCTAATTAGTTTTTGCACCTTCAGTTGAAGTTGTTAGAACCCTACTTAATTAATTAATCCTTACTGAGATACAAGTAACTTTTATGGCACTCTCTTATGTCTATTGGCCATAATTCTTGTTTCTCTCAAGGAATTACAGCTGGCAAATTTATTTTATTTAGATGAAAAATTATGTATCTATATAAGGAACCCTGTCTCTCTCTCTCTCTCTCTCTCTCTCTCACACACACACACACACACACACAGTGCAATAACTAGACTAGAAATTTGATTATTTCGTTCTTTAATTAGTATTAATGAGTAAAAAACAGATAGGGTAATTATCGAAATGAGGATTTCTGATGTCTACATCTTAAAATCCATAATTAGGGGTAAAAATCGGACCGACTAATCGGGAACTTGCACGAAAACACAATTAATGCCATTCGAAATTAAATAAACAATGTCATTAATTCATAGATATCATCTTTCTTACATGAAGAACGATATCATTCATCGTCGTTTCTTCGTCTCCTTAAGCACTGCCTTTACAGAGTGGACACAAGTTCTTGATTCTCAGCCACCGTCCGATGCAATCCACGTGATATTCGTGCCTGCATCGGAGAATCCCAACCTTCCGATCTTCCTTTTCTCTACATCCGAGAAGATCATCCAAGCAAATTAAACCGCGCATGTTTCACTCTCCTCCTTCCGATCAGAAGGAATATTCCTTATCTTGAGGCGATTTTCGATATCTTGTTCGGATAGACCGCCACCACGGTTGTTGTAATTAATCTCTTCTTCTTGTTCTCCGGACGTACCGCCAGCTGGCATGTTAATCACCGTAGCAGTCCACCTCATAGATCCTGGACTGATGGGGGTCCACCTAGTAATCTCTTCTACATCTACGGAAAAATTGTCGAACGAGTTATTTCTTCCCGGAGGAATCACAAAATATGGCGTCATCCCCGCGTACATGTCTCTATTGCTGCGTGCCATTCTTGGATTGAGAGTTATTGAAGACTATTCTATGTATTGTTTATATATGTTATGTACGTACTCCCAAGTATATATGTATGTATCATGTATGTAATGTATGTATGTATGTATGTATGTATGTATGTATGTATGTATGTATGTATGTATGTATGTATGTAAGATTGTGAGACAAGGTATTGATGTGTTATAGTTGTTGTAGGAGTTGGAGTCCTAGTTAGTACTTTCGAGTGCTTACCATAATTAAAGTTTAGTTAGATTTTCTTTGGTAATTATTTCCTTGTATTATAGCTGCATATTCAAATTTATTTATGTTATTATTAATATTATTTATTAATTAAACATGGGGTTAATATGCAATACCAATTGTTTGGTAGTTATATTGAACTATGTACCATTGACTTTAAAGACTTTTGCATGCACACAATTCTAGAAATTAAATTAGGAGACCTTTCTCAAGAATATGTTAAACCTTTTTTACACTTTAATGTTGTCCCCGTGGATACAGGGTACGGTTGTATCTCAATTCTGAACTGCGTTAATTCACGTGTGATTGTTTGTTTTTCGATCGAATTAATTTTGTGTGCGTTTGTTCGTTGATTTCACACAACAACAACAAAAAAACTATTTATACTATTTCTATCTCCTAAAAATTAAATCATGTCTTAACTATTTATACTAGAAGTGCTAGAACAAGAGAAACCCTAGTCCAAGAAAGTATAATTAAGCAAACCCTAAAACACATATAACAGAAGTACTTGAATCATATATTAAATAAATCTCATCATCCAACATCAATGTAACCTAATTAATTAAATTTACAATAAAAATGCATTATTATAACATTAAAAAAAAAAAAAAAAAAACCTAAGAATCTTTTAACAGCACGTGATGAGGATATGCGGTGGTTTTACATAGTGGACAAAAGTTCTTGATACACAACCACTTCTGCACGCAATCCGCATGGTACCGATGTATGCAGTTTACGAGTTCTCCGACTTTCTGATTATCGAGAATATCGTCTAAGCAAATCACGCATGTTTCCACCTTCTTTGGGAAGTATTTGTGAGGAGCACTAATCCCCTGTAGGAACGCCCGTCTAGAAGCTTCCAGCTGTCGATTCGGAAAGAACTCGTGAGGAGCCTTAAATATTCGATTACTTGCTCCGATCGGGCCGCCACCTGTCCGATTGCGAAAGAACTCGTGAGGAGCCATAAATATTCGATTACTTGCTCCGATTGGGCCGCCACCTGTCCGATTGCCGGCGTGATTCTGATGAGACATTAATATTATTAATCCTAGGACAGATAAATTAATATTGTAAGAGAGGGTTTTTCAAGAACGTATTTTTTTGTTGTTGTAGAAGAGTCTCGTGTGTGTATATATATATATAGTTTCGCTCAAGTTTATTAATATTTGGGAACTACCATAATTCTAGACCTAGTTGGAGTTTATTTTCCTTAATTCGTTATGAATTATGATTATTATTGTTATCGTTCATATTTTACTTACTTATTTATTTATTTATGAATTTAAATAATCCAATTTCATCGCAAAATTTAATTTCTTCAAAGAAATTTTAGAATTTGAAATTCGAATTTTACTGGTAAAAGGGGCAAAATGTATTTTCCCATTATAATTAGGGCAAATTATGGCCACCCTGAGTTACGGTCAAATTACAAAAAACCCCTTCCTCTTTGGGTAATTACAACAACCCCTCAACTATGTATTATGTTACGAAAAGATCCCTGCAGAGGTAAATTTAGGGATGTTAATGTAGTAAAACCGAACCGAATTTCGGTACTCCAACATTTCATACCGTTTATCGAACTAAATATACGATATGGTTCAGTAAATAACCGAATTACATAAGTTTTATGTAAAAATATTTAAAATGAGGGGTGGCTGTAATTACCCAGACAACAGAGGTTTTTTCGTAATTTAACCGTACCGTAGGGGTGGCCGTAATTTGCCCTTATAATTATGAGTAACTGCAAATACAGCCTCCATGAAATCTCGAATTGGTAAATACCCCCTATCAAAAAATAATAATAAAATAACGCACTCATATTTCCCGCGCAAATAAAGTCAAAGCATCAAGCCGCCTTGAAATAAATCATGTCTCTCATACGCTTCTGGTGCGATCTTTGCTCCATTTTCACTTGTGACATGTTAGAAATGCCCCAGCTCTCTCTTTCACCTTCGGCCAACCCTTAAACTCACAATGGGACGAGTGTGTTCATTTAAAAAAAATCACGGGTTGCAAATTTTCAAATATTTTGGTTGGATCTCTAACTAATTACATGATTTAATGATCGACTGCAAATTGATAGTTGATAATAATAGGGAAAAGTAGAGAAAAACCTCCCATTTAGAAAAATGAGTTAAGGAAACACCCCCTCCAAAAAATAATTAGAGAAAACTAACTTAGTTAATATTCCACCCAAGTGATATTTTTATAATTCCAAAATTACCCCTAATTGTCAACTATACTCTTTCAAAACCCTGATCTTATTTTCTCTTCTCCCGTCTCTTCTCTGCTTTTTTTCTTCTCTCTATTATATTTTTTTCTCTCAATTCTTTAGGTTACGCTCTCTTGATCGGAAGATGAAGAACCAACCACCAACATCACCGCCAGAACAACGATGCGAATTCCGTTGAAGCCATCGTCGCTGTTGTCGTCTCCGTCACCGTCGCCGTCGGGGTCGTCGTTGTTGCAGATATTAACAAAATCCATAAAGATGATGATGATTTTGATAGCGATTCTGAGTTCGAATGCCACGATTGCTACAACAGCAGCGAAAAAAGGTAAAATTATTGATTTGTCGCCGGAATCGGATTTTGATGGGTGGTGGTTCTGCTTTGGTTGGTGGTGCGAGTTGTGATTTTATTTATTTATTTGTAATAAAAAAATAACCGTCATAATCAAAGCAAGGTAGTGATGGTGTGTTGTGGCGGCGGTGTGGTGACGATGGGGAGGCAGATTTAGGGTTTTTTGGTGGATTGGGCGGATGACAGCGCCTGTAGAGAATACCGCGCATGCTGAAACCTTAATCGACAATGTACATGTTCATAGTCGATTAAGCTAATCGACTATGCTCTGGTAGTCGATTAAGGTTCATCGACTCCCATTTTTTTATTTTTTTTGGATTTTTTGTTTATTGATTCCAATTGTATGAATCATTTATAATGTTTGTATATTTTTTGTTTTTGTAATATACAGTTGATTTTGCATTTTTTCGCAGTTGTGATTTGTTATTTTCAGTAGAAGATTTTTAATCGACTATGATTCATATCATAGTTGAGTTTGCATTTTTGTAGTTGTGATTTGTTGTTTTTAGTAGTCGGTTCCTTAATCGGCTATAGTTCATCATAGTCGATTTAAGATGCTTCGTAGTCGATTAATATACCTGATAGAGAAAAAAATTAAAAAAACGAAAAAAAAAATTGAAAAAAATAATAAAATAATAAATTTAAAAAAGAAAAAGGAAAAAAGAAACACACGCTACTGGATCATGGGCGGAATGGACATATAGTGAGTAAGGTGAAGGGACATAATTGGAAAAATGGGGTGATTGAGCGGAATGGGCAGATAGTGTGTAAGGTGAAGGGACATTGATGATGCTAGAAATAGATCACCTTAGAGAGTTGAAGTAGGGTGAGCTGGAAGAGCAGAGTGGATCACTGGCTCACGAGCTTGATGACCTAGAGATACCTGCGATCATAGAACACGTGAACTAGGCCAGGGGTTGATCCGGCGGAAACCCCTTCGACGTTCAAGTCGGACGTGCGGATAGTATAAATGATCCAGAGAATACAAGTTGTAGTATTACTCAGATAATAGGACGTACCTTAAGGAATGAGTTCAAACCTTTATTTATACCTTAGTCAAGATTGTTGGGCTCAAACCTTATTTGAAGGTGATTGGGCATCGATGATAGTGGTCTTCAATATTGGGTTCGTGGCCCAATAAGTCAATAAATTGTAAGCCCATTGGATTTGCCCAATTAGGCATATCAGACATAATTGAGAAAATTGGGTGATTGAAATTAAGATTGATTTTTTCTCAAATAGTGCAAAATAACTTGAGCCTTTCATGTTAAAAAAAAATATTGAAAGGTTATATTAAAGAGCCTCATAATAATATTGATTTTCGATATATTTGTATGAAAATATTTAAAATATACACATACACCTCTAATATGATTATGTTTCCCCAAATTCATTGTATTCCCATTTTTTGGGCATGTGGTCTCCCCTTATCGATTTTCCGTTTTTCGTCATCGTCGATTTCGTGTCCGTGCTACATAGTTCCACACTAGTCAAATATTTGTCCAAAGTCATAATTCGGACTGCACTAGTCAAACATTGTTGCTATCGATACAGATTGTTCATATAAAACAACAAAAGATTAAAATCTCAAGATTTGATTTGCCTGTCTTTATTTAAAACATTTCTTGGGGGCAGAACATATAACCAACTAATTACTCATCTGTTTTCTTGAATTATTTATTATTTTTATATCTAAAAGTTTGGAATTGGATGAGAGCACAGATGTGAGAGAGAGAAAGAAAGAAATCAATGACGAATCAGTTATCTTCTCAACTACCCAATATTCTTTTTTCACATTATTTTCGATCCACTAAACTATAATTTAAAGTCAACTATGTCGACTTCCTGCTGCAAATTGATGACATCTCCGCATCTTGATGAACAAATGTCAATTGCCCTTGTGAAGAAGAGAAAAAGACACAAACTTTTTATCAATTGTATTATATTATATTATTATTTATTTGGGATAAATTTGTGGGGTTTTCTTGTTTTCTGGAAACCCTAAAATTGGAAAGTCAGAGAAATTATTATTTCAGACATTTAATGTAGTAGTTCTTGAAAAAGGGTTTTATTTTTCCTTGTCGGAATTTGCTGATTTTGGAATGATGGGAGGCGGTTTTTCTGTTAGAATTGTTTGTTTCTTGATCTTGCTGCAGTTTCTTGATTCTTGCTCTGCTCTGCCTCTCTGTACTGATTCAAGTAAGTCTGTGGTTTCTTGAACTGTTTAATTTGAACAAATATCACTGTGTGTGTGTGTGTTTTAATTGTTTTGTTTGGAAAATGATTTCTGAGTTGAACTAATTTTTTGTATTTTTGAAATTTCAGGAGCGCCCTTTACCCCAACTTCTCCTCTGCAGTTCTGCCCCTACAATGGAACCACTTGCTGCAGTTATACAGATGATTTAAGTTTGAAGAAGCAATTTTCGTCGATGAATATTTCGAATCCTGGCTGTGCTTCTGTACTTAAATCCATCCTTTGTGCGGTAAGCAAAATAAACCCGTAATCGGGATTGTAGTTTTCCGCCTTCGATTTACGCGTTGATAGCCGAATCTTGATTTTGTTTAAGTGTATTAGCTTAAAAATCACCGCTTTCGTAATTGTGATTTAAGATGATTCCGTCACAATTGAATTGTCGCATCTTCTGCAATATAATTTCAAGTATTTTTTTGTTGATGTCATTTATTTACAGAGGTGTGATCAATTTTCAGCCGATCTTTTCCGAGTCGACTCGGGCAGTCCTCGAGAAGTTCCCGTTCTTTGCAACTCCACCGCGTCATCGAATTCGACAAACTTCTGCTCACAAGTGTGGACAGCTTGCCGGAATATTCCCATTCTGAACTCACCCTTTGCCGTTCCGTTACAAGGCCGAGCGGCCCCACCGACAAACTCAAGCAACTCCACCAAACTAACCGACATCTGGCAGTCGCAGATAGACTTCTGCAATTCCCTCGGCGGACCGTCACCACCGTCATCGAACGATGGTCCACAGTGCTTCAACGGTGCACCCGTCACATTGGATAACACCGCACCCCCACCACCCCCTCCGAGCGGTATCTGCCTCGAGAAAATAGCAAACGGGTCCTACCTCAACATGGCTGCCCACCCAGACGGGTCGAACCGTGCCTTCTTCGCGAACCAGCAGGGCAAGATTTGGTTGGGGAATATTCCCAAACAGGGCTCGGGCGAGATGTTGGAGCTCGATGAGGCGAGCCCGTTTCTTGACATAACCGATGAAGTGCATTTCGATACCGAATTCGGAATGATGGGAATTGCTTTCCACCCGAAATTCGCAGAAAACGGGCGTTTTTTTGCTTCGTTTAGTTGCGATAAGGCCAAGTGGCCCGATTGTGCGGGCCGGTGCGCGTGTAACTCCGATGTGGACTGCGATCCGTCGAAGCTGCCTCCAGATAACGGGGCGCAGCCTTGTCAGTTCCAAAGTGTTGTAGCGGAGTTCACCGTTAACGGGTCTTCCTCGGTATGTGCCATAAAAAACTTCATTTTTCGAATTTTAGTTTTCTTCCGTCTGAAATGCTAAACGTCGTTTCAATTTTACTGATACCGTTACGACTTCAAATGTGATTTTGACCCTTTTTCAGTCCGAATTCGTTAAAAGTCGAAACACAACATTTATAGTTCTTCGAGTTGGCTTTCTAATTCAACTTGAATCAGCTAGATTGAATATCAGGTGAGAAAGTTATGCATAATAGGGTAAAAATCACATATGAAGTCGAAACGGTACTATTAAAATTGAAACGACATTTATCACCTTCCTTTTTGAATTCACGAATAGTACTTGAATCTTTTTTTCATTTTCATTTTTTTAACAAGGAAAAAGGTGCTAATCCTTCGGAAGTTCGAAGAATATTCACGATGGGACTTCCGTTTACGTCACACCACGCGGGACAAATCCTATTCGGACCGAGAGACGGGCATTTGTACTTTATGATGGGAGATGGTGGAGGTATAGGTGATCCGTACAATTTTGCTCAAAACAAGAAATCTTTACTCGGGAAGATCATGAGATTTGACATTGATAATATTCCGAGTGAGTCATCGTTATTTGGCTCGTACTATACAATGCATTTCCATAAAATATTTTTGCATATTTATGTTTATATACCAAATTTTGTTATCGAGTTTATTGCTAGAAAACTCCTAGTGTGATAAATATTAGAAAATAAACCCTGTGATGCATATTTTTTACCACATAACCCGCTAATTAATGCGTTCTTAGGGGGTAGTTTGCTAATAAAATTGAATCATAGGGGTGATTTTGCTAATATTTGTAACACCGGGAGTTTTCGCAATTAGAGTAAATATTTGGTTGCGAAATGCAATAAACCCTTTTGTTATCTTAAATTTTAACAAAAATAAATAAATAAAAACCAATGATGCATTTTTTTTGGGAATTGTTAGGGGGTAGTTTTCTAATAAAATTGAATTAGAGTGGGCATTTTGCTAATATTTATAATACAGGGAGTTTTTTGATAATTGGTGTAAAATCAGGGGTGCTAAATGCAATAAACCCAAATTTTGTTATCCGACATTACAAACTTATAACATGTATATTTCAGGTCCAACCGAAGTTGACCAGCTTGGTCTATGGGGAAACTATTCGATTCCGAAAGACAATCCTTACAAAGAAGATAAAGAATTGCAGAAAGAAATATGGGCTATCGGATTACGAAATCCTTGGCGCTGCAGTTTCGATTCTTCGAGACCTTCGTATTTTTTATGTGCTGACGTAGGACAGGTACTATATCTTTTTTTTTTTTTTTTGCTCTAAATTAAAACGAATTTATATAACATAGGGGTACTAAATGCAAAAAATGCATTATAGGGACTTATTTAACAATTTGATATAACATAGGGGTACTAAATGCAATAAACTCGAATTATATCACCTAAATGAAGTGGTTGTAACTAACTCAATAGGATGGATTCGAAGAGGTGAATTTGATAAGCAAGGGTGGGAATTACGGGTGGCGGGCTTACGAGGGGGCCCGCCCCTACTTTCCTCCTCAGTCGCCCGGAGGAAATACTTCGTTACGCTCGATAAACCCGATTTTTCCGGTTATGGGATATAATCACTCCGATGTGAACTCGAATGGAGGCTCAGCATCAATTACTGGTGGCTACTTTTATAGATCGATGACCGATCCTTGTTTGCATGGAAGGTAATTAATTATAAGTCATTAATTGTTCAATCAATTGGTATATTAATTAATTAATTATTCCCACTTTATTGATAAATGATATGATTGAAGTAGGATCGTAAAAAGTAGGGGTGGTGATTGGAACGGGTTTTTCGGATTTCTGCCGATTCCGATACAAACATTTCCAATTTTGTAACATGTTTTTTCATTTCGAAATTCCGGTTTTTTCGGTTTTTTTTTTTTGGAAATTATACTTGTAATATCAATATTATAATGTATTTTATATTATAATTATAAATGATTAAAAAATAAAAATTCCGAATTCCGCCTATTCTGATCCGAAAATTTTCGAATTTGAAACAAGTTTTTCGTTCCAATTTCCATATTTTTTGGAATGGAATTGGATTTAGTTTTTCATTTCAAGAAAAAAAATTGGAAATTTTTCGGCTGTGTTAATTTCGATCTGATCCATCCGATTTCCACCCTAGTAAAAAGTGGTTTGGTAAACCATTGTTCATTATCTACAATAAAAAAAAAATAGCAATCGAATTTTTAGCAATTTCGGTTGGCGATTCTCTTAGTGCTAAAAGATTTTGCAGTCCAAAACTCAATTTATCAAAAAACTTTATTTATTTATTTTATTTTTTAGTGAAATTGTGTGCTCCAAATTTTTGCAGGTATTTGTTTGCAGACCTTTATGCAGGTGCTATATGGGCAGGCACCGAAAATCCGATCAGTAGCGGCAACTTCACAAGCAGCAAAATATCTTTCGACTGCGCAGACGACTCCCCTTTGAGCTGCACTTTCACTCCCGGGAGTCCACTTCCCGCTTTGAGCTACGTTTTCTCGTTCGGCGAAGATAATGAAAAAGACGTTTTTCTCCTCACTAATAGTGGAGTTTACAGGATCGTTCTTCCCAGTCGTTGCAACTACACATGCGCGAACGAAAACGAGTCTACAGCCGTCACATCACCGCCCGGCCCTTCGGCTCCTCCTCCTCCTTCGATGGCAACTCCGTTGAGAGGTCCGTACGGGACTTTTGTGGTCGTGATGATTTCGTTTTTATATGGTTGTTGCTTCTTCTTCTTCTCTTGAATCTTTGTTTTGGAGAAAATTTACTTAAATGTTACATTGTTCCTCGCATTTGGCTTTTGTTGTTGATTGGAATTTACGACGAGAAATGTTGAGTTGCATCTTAATTGAAGGATTTGGAGGAAGGATTTTAAATGACTCTGAACGAGAAAAAACATAGCTTGTTTTATTAAGATTTTAGACAACAGTTAAACCTCTATAAATTAATACAGGACTAGGGAAATTCTATTAATTTAGCGAATTATTAAATTATCGAATCAATAATTTAACACGTTTTCACCGAGTCGGGACCGAGAGAAAGTATTATTTAATCGAGGTTATCAATTAATCGAGTATTAATTTATCGAGGTTCTACTGTATAATTCGATATTACAATTTTCTTATTATTGCAAGGGCTTCCTTGCAATAAAATTAAATAGAAAGATGTCCAAACTCCCTCTTCAATTCAGTTTAACATGTCCAATCAAAATATCTTCGGATTTCAAATTACCTTTCAATTACATATACTATGTGACTACTTCGAGTGAATAGTACATAATTGCACGTGCAAAGGCAAGAGGCATTCTCTGAACCTGACAATTGATAGAACGCGCATTAAATGTTGTCACGTGACTTAGGCGGTGGGATGTCTCGCTCCCTTTGCACTTGACTGGCCTCTCGCCGTTTGAGGTTGCTCGCCGCTTCTCTTGCCCGCAAGAGTTACTCGCTGGCCTCTCTCAGTTTGGTAGCTTGTGCACGATCCCATTCTGTGGGTCTCGCTTTCCTTTATTAATTTATCGAGATTCTACTGTGGTCATGTTCGTGTTTAACAAATATTATAAATTTCGGTTATTTTTTCTTTCCCAAACATTTAATTTCCCCTTCTTAATAGTTTATAAATAGGGTAAATTACGGCGACCCCCCTCATGTAAGATCAAATTACGAAAAGACCCCTCTTGTTTGGTTAATTACATTCAACCCCTCAACTGTGAATCTTCTTAAACCTCCTCATCCTTATGATGTCAAATTCAATAAAATCCTCTAGCTTCTGTGGAATATTCTCTAGTTTGTACTCATTTTGTGCAAAAATGCATTTTCTGATGCATCACAATATGATGATATTTACAAGCCCAAAGACACATATCTTATGATCATCTTGTTTCAAAATGTGGAGCTCGAGTACAAATTGGAGAATATTCAACATACAATTTAGAAGATTCCACTAAATTTGACACCATAGCGGTGGACGTGTAAGAAGATTCATAGTTGAGGGATGGTTATAATTACCCAAACATGAGTGGTTTTTTCGTAATTTAACCTTACCTCATAGGGGTGGCCGTAATTTACACACACACACACACACACATATATATATATATATATATATATATATATATATATATATATTTATATTATAATGATATAATAATATATATGTATAATGTGTGAATCAATATGAAAGAAAAAAAGTTCCCTATTTCATAAAAATGTAAACGCATACAAACTAGATGAAATCTAACACAAAATTGTGCACTCACTACTTCCGACAAAGTCGCACTAACGTTTTTAGGTCAGAAAATCTCAAAATTTTAGTTTTGCTTTTCACCCCATTTTTAATTAATAATTATAATTCAACCCCACAGCAATGCATATTCACAAAAACCCAATTTCTCCTCCAATTCCCACCGCTGTCTCTCTCTCTCTCTCTCTCTCTCTTCTTTCCCTCTTCCATTAACTTTCTCTCTCCGACTTCAAAAAACAAAAAAGAGAACTCGCCGCAAAAGCCAAAACCCCATTTCTGCATTCCCATTTTTTATGTCTTAATTAAAATTAATTATAATTATAATTCTTCAAAACGAATTCTTGGTGTGCCCCAAATGCAAGCCCTTGATCTTCCATGTAACCCTACCGTAGTCCCTACCGCACCCGATTCCTCCGCCATGTCCGACAACACCTCCTCCCCGATCCACCACCACCACCACTCCTCCTCCTCCAAGAACCTCGGCAATAACAACAAAACCCATGTGGAGAACGCCGCCGATAACGGCGGCAGTGTCAAGAACGGCAGTGTTGGTAAAATTAGTGACGGTGTTAGTAACAGCAGTGCAGTTGCAGTTGCAGTTGCTGCTAGGAGGGAGAGGCCGTCAAGGGCGTGCACTCAACGCGCCGCTGCGAAGATGCAGGCGGCTGCAGAGGCTGAGGCGGCAATGGCGGAGGCGGAGAGGAAGAGGAAGAAGCCTAGAAAGAAGGAAAAAGTATTGAGGGAGGAGATTTTTGAGGAGGAGGAGGAAGAAGAGGAGGGGGTGGAGGAGGGGGCGGAGGAGGAGGGGGTGGAGGGTGGGCCCCCTTCGTCTTCACGATGCAGTAAGATAGTTACGCCTCTGGTCGGAGAATTGGAGCCCTCTCAGTTGCCACGGTGGAACATACGGTCAATGTGGCAGTTGGCTTCTATTCTCAATTTCTTGAATGTATGTGTGAGCATTGGAAGAAAAAAAATGGACTCCAATTAAAGTGTGATTTTCGATGTTTTGAAGCTAATCTGTGTTTCTTTTTTTTTTTTTTTTTTTCGGTCGGTGGTGTGTGGTGTAGGTTTTCAGGCCTTTATTGAATATTAAAGTGGAGTTTTCCGCCGAGGAGTTCGAGACTGCTTTGATTAGTCCGAACAACACTTTGGGGGATGTACATATGCCTTTGTTAAAGGTTAGTTGTGCTCTTCTCTCCTCGTTTTGTGTGCTTCTGTATGCATGTTTGTGAATCGTGTTGAGTTTGCGTGTGCTTCTTGAAATGCTTTTTTTTTTTCGAGTTTTTTCCTTCAAAACGTGAGACGCCTTTTTGTAGTGGGGCTTGTTGTGCTACATGGGCTTGTTTTGATATCTACATAAGTGTGATCTCTTAAATGCAAGTCATATTTCGAGGGTTCGTTCTATTTCGATTAAGCTCTCGTATTTGTTTTGGTTATATTGCATTTTTATTCTGCACGAGCATCACAATGAATATGCATGTATGGATCAACGTCATGAACTTCAAACTCCAAAGCCATTAAGGAATATTTATTTAATTATTGTTTGAGGCACTCGAAAGATGGTGGTTTATCTGTTAATGCTGTGGCTAATTCTCAGGGTTTGTACTGTTTGTTATCTGTTCTGCATCAATCGATACTTTGTTGACTGAGTGGTTCCGTTCATTATATTACATAATCGGTTCTCTTGTAATAAATGTTTGGAAAGTAGTTCTCCTTCAATGATTAAGATTAAGAGAGGATGTCAACTAGCAGAATTATTTTCTTCTATTCGGCTCATGTAATGAAAATCCCTTTAGCCTCTGCCAGCTGTTAAGTTATCGTTGATCCTTCGGATAATTTTATTATGTGTTAGGAACAATAGAGCAATGTACCTTCTCTCTCTTTTGGACAAGTCGAGAATGAAGCCTCGGAAATAAAGTTTGTATCTGTGAACTTAACAGATTTATCCGGAAGATCTGTTATATGCTTGCACAATTCTTCGAGACTTGATTGGGCTTCAGTGAAACATATTGGTTTAAAGGATAATAGTAATTGTCTTAACAAACCTAATAATATTGTATATTCGTCGTATTTGCAGATATTCTTCTCGCGTTCGTAAATTTTAGTAATGAAACTATTTTTTTACAAAAAAAACCAAAATGCTGAATGACCTAATGCAGTTGTGGTATATTACGTCCTAGTATTTAGTACTACCAGCGGCTTGTAATAACATGTTATGGTTGTCAACTTCGTAGTGTAAAAGTAATCAAAATTATGTAGTCTTTTGCTTATTTCTTGAATTCGATTACTATGTTAATTGAACATCAATAGCTAATGTAAGCTATTTCATGTTTTCGAGTTGATGTATTGATATGTAATACAGGTAATAATTTTTGCTACAACTCGAGAGGCTCCGTTCGAAATTAAATCTAGACATGAATAAGTAAAGATGAATTGGCTGTTGATGCATGGAAAACTAGATAGCCGTACCCCTCGGTCGGGGAATTGTTCATAAATATGTTTTCTTTTTCGTTAGAAAAAAAAACTGGGAAAAGTTGCTCTAGTGTTATTTTATTAGATGTAACTATTAAAATTTAGCAGGTCTTCTCGTGTAATTTTCTTGCTTTTTTTTCTATAGGCAATTCCTCCCGTCACTAGAATGGCACTCGGGCATGGTACCTGGGTGACTGTTTTGTGCAGAAAATTGCGAGATTGGTGGCATTGGGTAATCTAAAGATTCAATTTTTATTTTTATTTCATTTATTTATTTATTTTTAATTTTTTCTTTAAAGTTTGAACATTGGAGTAAAATTTTGCAGCACACGGGCTTATTTTTATTTTGTTTTTGGGCTTAATGCAGGTTGCTGAAGGAGATTTACCGATAGTTGCCGCACATGGGTGAGTAAAAATTGTATCTTGATAAGGTTCAAGAATATATCTGCGCGTGAACTTATGCTTGTGTGTTTTTGTTTTAGGGCTGAAATCGAAGCATACAGTGCACTCGATCCTGCAGTTAGAGTGGTGATTCTCAAAGCATTATGTGATATTCGAGTCGAGGTACCATTTTTTCTCTCAAGTATACTCCCCTGCAGTTCTTGTAATTGATGATCACTAAATTTTGTTCCGATTATCACATCCTTCTTTCTTGAAGTAACCTCATTACAAATATTGAAATAATATTTAAAGGCAAATTGCAATCATGCATGTTTCGTAATTTGCATTATTTAGTGGCTGAGCCTGATTTCAGTGGTTAATTTCGTACATTTTTGTAAGAGACGTATTTTCCTCGAAGTAAAAAAATTCGACTCGTTTATTTAGTTTTTCGTGCGCGTATTCAGTTTATGTGAATCTGCAAATAATGCCAAGATTATCGTCTCATTCTGCAGCAAGAAGATATAAGGAACCATATAGACGGCTCAATAAAACACGGTGTTCACCTTTCTGCATTTCGAAAAGAACGCATAGGTGGCGATTCTAGCGGCATCTCGTATTGGTAATATTTATTTCCTTCACATGCAAGAAAATGATTATTATTATTATTATTATTATTATTAAATATTAATTAATTAATTAATTAATAAATTAATGTAGGTATGAAGATGATCCGGTCATCGGTCATCGATTATACCGAGAGATTAGGAAAGTTGAGGTTAAAAAAGGAAAAGGAAAGAACGTTCCCCAAATACCTCATTCATCTTATCAATGGGAAGCAGTTGCAACTAATTTAGACGAATTTCTCGATGTTTCTGTAAGTTTTTCTTGTCACTAATCCATATCGGTTTTATTATATATCAGTTGCAACACAGAGTTTGACTGGATCTAAAAGTCATTGATGTATAAAAAAAAGGGTTAAATTAGAAATAAACCCCTGAACTTTGGCTAAATTACAAAAAACACTCCAACTATCCGTAATGTTTGCCTTTAAAAAGTAGCATAAACAAATGACATATCTGTAGCGGTTGAATCGGCATTTTTCGGGAAATATTTCCGTGAATCAAAAAATTTGCGTGAAAAATCACACCATAAGGGGGTCGGTGTAAGATGGAAACAAACGTCGGGGGTATTTTGGTAATTACAGATAGATGGGGTGTTTTTCTTAATTTAGCCAAAGTTTAGGCCTTTTTTTTTTTTTTTTTTTAATTTACCCTAAAAAAAATTATGTAAATTAGGAATGACTAAATAGTTTCTGTTAAAAGTCGGAGAAATTTTCGAAGTGAATTAACTGAATTGTTTCTTCTTTAAAAAATCAACTTAGACTACAGATTTCCGTAAAAATCAATTAATAGTTTTTTTTTTTAAATCGTAGTCTTGGACTTGGATACTAGATCTTCATGTCAAAATGATTCTAACTTACTAACCAGAGGTATCGGGAGGAGGTTGTTTATTACATCGGATTTATTTTTTAACCGAAGAAACAAAGGATTGTAGGTATACTTGGAAATCGAGCCAAAAACTCTAGATGTTTAATGTGGAAAAAGCATGTATACTATAAAATAAAACATCTTATGGTTATAGTACTACTTTCTTGCAGGAGAATCTGTTTACCAGCAAAAACAGAACGGAGGTTTCTGTCGGGAAGAAACTGAAAAACGACATGCTCCCGGAAATCGAGAAGGTCCACAAGGTGGGGGGTGTCTCCTATTTCTTGATTAAAAATATTATTTTACCTGCATCTGATGCCTTAAATATCAGATCTTTAATCTCTATTCGGTTATTCATAACATGTGCTTGTTTTCGGACAGAGGAAAGAGAAACTGTTGAAGAAACAGCACAGACAAGCGCTTATGCTTGATAACATGATGAATATCGATGGTCTTGCTGCTGGACGCTCTCTTCGTGATCGAAAACCCGTTACTTATACTTTCGGTATGTTTAATTGTACTTCTCTAATTGCATAATGTTCTTTTTTTTCACCCCGTATTAATCATTTGTGTATCAACGATTTTGTGCTCTTTTCTTTGGTGCAGATGATTACGATCGATCAATTAACGAGGCTATAAAAGTCACCAAGTACGAATCTTGACTACACCCTCCCACCCGAACATAAATTTTACAACAATTGTCATAAATTCACACTTTACTTGTATGTTGATTTTTTTTTGTTAATTTGCTCTCGGTATTAGGAACAAACCGCCATCTGCAGAACCTTACGAAGGAAGAGACCCTCTTCCAAAACTCGAAAATTCCTCAAACGGTAGATGGGGGGGCGGTGGCCCCTCACAACAATTTTCACGTCAAGACCAATTCAGCGCCCTTTCTCCCGAATCATTCGAAAACGAAGATTTTTACGACAACCAACAAAACGAGACATTGGATCGCAGGTACTAATTCAAAATATACTTTTCCATTTTCCAAGAAAAAAAAACTAGATTCCTTTTTTTTATTGTGTTAAATAAGTTTGAAAGTTTCTCGTGTGACCTAATTAGCAACCGAAGAAGGCAAAAGCCTCAAAGGTACTCCATGAAAGAGTTTGTCGAAGCTGTATCAGAAAACGAAGCGGATTTCGATAGTGACGATGATATAGTCGGTGAAGTTGTGTACGATGAGGAATATTTAAAAAGAAGGAAGCAAATAAAGAGGGGTTCGAGTAGTTCGGAAGGTGACGAGGAATACCATGGCGAAGAAGAAAATCAAGAAGAGGAAGAAGAAGAGGAAGAAGAGGAGGAAGAAGATGATAGTATGAACACAAGTGACGAAAGTGACGATAGTAATAATAAATTTCGTCGATTCAAAAAAATGGAGGGAAGAACTAGGCGGGAAACTAAAAAATCAAGATCGGTTGACGAGCTTCAATCGGGTCTTAGGCGGAGTAAAAGGGCGAAAACTATAAATCACATCGATTACAGACAGTTGGAGATGTCTGAATCAGACAGCGAACCGATGAAAGTTGGTGATGAATTAGAGGAGTACTACGACGGGAGTGATAATAATAATAATAATAATAATATGAATAGTAATGGGGAGTTTTCTAGGGGTAGTAGTGGAAATTCGGAGGAGGAAAAGATTATTAATAATAATAATAATAATAATAATAATAATAATAATAATAATAATAATAATAATAATAATAATAATAATAAAGAGGAGATAAATGCTTATCGGCCTCCATTCGATAATAACCATCTTGAAATTGTGGACACGAAGAAAGTGGACCTTCCGGAAGAATCTTCGAAGAGCGGAGAAGAAGAAACCGGTGGTGTGAGCAAAAGAGGGTTTCCCGATTTGAACGAGCTTGCTCCGGGTTCTGGGTTTGATGAGGGTCCCACATCGATTAAAGACGAAGATAATCATGACTTTTAAAGACTCGACGGGAGAGAGGAAAACGCTGATTTCGACGGTAGATTATTGTTTTTTATTTATTTTATTTCTATTATGTTGTAATGAGAGTTGTTTCTTTGGTGGGAGCAACTTGTTTTTTTTTTTTTTTGGTGGAGTTTGTGTAGATGTAGTCCAATTTTTTTAGTAATGCCTACATTAGTGGGGAAGGAGAGAAAAAAAAAATCAAGAAATTACAACTTTCTAGTCATTGTACAATATAACTTTCTAACTAATATTTTGTAACAAAAGATCATCTTGTTAGATGCTATTTGCCTCACTTGTTGTTTATCTTAAATGATTAAGAAAAGGGACTTGATAAATGCGGTTCCATTTTTACGAATACGGTTTTAGTTTTCAAAAGTTCTGAAAAGTCCCTATTTTTGCCTAGCCATGATAAAAACGGGTGGGAAATAGCATGTTTCACACCTTAAAAATGAGGAGAAAATATCATCATGCCCATATTGAGCATGGAAACAAATAATAATGAGTTTTAATTTTAATTAATTATTAATTGGTTAATAATTAATCAATAAATAAATAATTATTGATTAATAGTTATTTAATAATTAGTTAATAATTAATTAATAATTTTAAGTAATTAATGAATAATTAATAATAATTGGTTAACAATTTATAGTAAAAAAAAAACTCCATTTGTCCTATATTATGTCTTTTAAGAGAAATTTTTTTTGTCCAAAATTATTTGTCATTTCATATTTTCAATAAAACATTAATTACATTATTTTCAATGTTACCCTTTATTACTCCTAATTAATTAGTTCTAGGACAATTAATATCAAGGATATTTTAAGGATTTTTTTATATATATTTTTACTATAATCTATGCACGTTTATTGATTTTCTTAATATATGCGCAACAACCCAAAACATCATTTAAATTGGGACGGAGGGAGTAACTAATAGTTCATGAATAAATTAGTTAATATTGTTTTATTTGTTAATGTAAAAATGTATTTGTTTATTTATATGTATGAAAACAAATATCTATTCCCCATTGCGCCCAAATTGGGCGCGGGATGTGATTTTCCACGCCGAACTTGGGCGTGTTTGTGAGATTTGGGAGTTTTAGAGAGAGAGAGAGAGTAATAGTTTGAATGAACGGTATTCTTAAAATTAGACCCGTGAAAATCATTTCCGTAAAAAAGAAAAAAAAAAAAAAAAAAAAAAAAAAAAAAAAAAAAAAAAAAAAAAAAAAAACTAGAAAAGAAAGTTAATATGAACAAAGCTGCAACCGGTCAGTCAACACAAGATTTACAACATATGATACAACACTACTACTGCAAAAATTTGTTTATTTCTAGTATCCCAATTTTCAGACAGGGGTACCCTATGTTATTATTACAAAGGTGTCATCTCATATTGCAACACAAAGGCTTTCCTAACTGTCGAAGTTTATTCCACAGACAAATCATTTGCCTCGGCGACTGATAGTGAGCTGTCACATAATCTTCGACGCACCCGAATTGGCAGAATTTCGAGCTGTGTACGTACTCCACTCGTCTCGTGCTATTCACTTTCTCCACCCACATTCCCATGCTCACGTCTTCCATTTTAAACAACTGCAATTTCAAAAATAAATAAAAATTAAAAAAATATATCGTTATGATACGACGAACGACGAAACGGGCTTTTCTTGAAATGATCAAATGACTTTGTCCTTACCCTTAATTTTTGTTTCTCGAAGTCTAGAAGAACAGAGTTTGCAATGTCGGACGATATAATGTAGCCCGGCCCATTTGCGTAGGGTGGATAATCTTCCTCGGGCCATTCCTTTAAAACCACCAAATCGTTAAAAAATGAAAATAAAATAATATAAATTAAAATAAGTCGAAATAAAATGTTTTGAATAGTACCTCATACGTAACTGCCCATTTACCGCTGCGAAGGGGCTTATGATAGTAGTTTATATTTCCAATATACAAGCTCCGATTTTCCGGTACTTTCTTTGCTTCGTCAATAATTGCGTCTACTCTCACATAGGTGTCGTCGTCGCCCTTCATAATATACTTCGCAGAGACCGTCCTCACCTGTAAATCACACCAAACACCACTTAATTAATTAAAAAAAAAAAGACGAATTTCAATTTCTCGAGTAATTCATTAGCACTCACCCCATATTCGCAAATGGCAACGGTTTTAAGGACAACAAGGTCGTAATTGTCCATGTAAGGTACTATAACAATGTCACCGAAAAATTCAGCTTCCCTCTTCACTTCTATGTTGACTTCCTTTCTTGCATGCTGCGTTGAAAGTTCGTTTTCCATAATTAGTTTGTCTAAACAAAAAACGAAAATTCAAGAAATCAATCGTTTTATTTGTTACCCACCAATGCAAGAAAGAAACGGACAACGACGTTCGAAGATTTGATTAGGCTATGTTGCATCCAAGACCTCCTCACAGCCATCCTTTCTGCAAAGTGGTTACCTGCCGAGAGAATACCTATGAACAATTCGATTGGTCCGTTTGGAGTAATAGGAGATTTCCATTTTTCGGATAAATCAAGTTGTCTTTGAGGAGCAAAACTTGGGTGCGATGTGGGCAACGAAGCAGCAAAAACAGAATGTACGTCTATGTCCCCATTCAGAGTTAATCCCGTTGCATCGTCTAGGGTGAATCCCTAAAAACTTGGAACATAATTAATAATCACTTACTGAAATTATTACCCAAAAAAAAAAGAAAAAAAAAAGTTACTCACGGTGCGATATGGAAAAGAGGTGACGTGTCTCCCGTCGACATTTACATGGTAACCTTCGAGGCCAGCACTAAGAGTCAGCACGAACAATTTGCCTTCTGCAAAAGGGAATGGCCAATCGATAGCTATTTTTTTAGTTCGACCAATTAAACGGTTTAGCCACCAAGTTGCTTTAGATTCTTCGGACCCGTTGTCATCGTCTCTTATCCATTTTTCGCATTTCGCCATTTCATCAACTGCAGAAAATTCGGAAAAAGTTAAATTAAATTTGCAGAGCCACACAACACAATTTCAGAATCAATGCAGTACTAAAACCAAGTGGAACAGATAGTTTATGTGATGCACGAATTCGAATCTGATCGAAAAATGCCTTCTTATCTTACCTATACCTAACTGCATTACTGTATGCATATGTTCCATCACTCCGTTTTCCCCATACATATACCTAACTTACATTCTACGTAAGTAACTTAACTTATTTGGCAATATAATTGTAGGGGAATCATCAATCATTTCAAACAACCCCCACGGGAATTTGAATGTGATCGAAAAATGCCCTCTTCTCTTACCGTTGATCTAGTTGCATTATACGGAAGTACCTTTCTCATCATTCATCAACCATTTCATATATTTTCCCTAAACCGAAAACAACAATCATTTTACGAAAAAACCTACTTCTTTTTTCCCTAATAATAATCAAGAAAATACATAAATTCGCAACAACAACATCTTCTGCCACGGGATTGCCGATTCATCAAACTCGAAGAGAAAAACCCATGATTTGGTTTGCAGTGCACAACTCAATTACTAGTTCATCTATAGCACAGTGTTTGAACTGCAAACACAACTTAGAAAATCAATGCGTATAAATGCCCTCTATCTTACCATTGATCTAATTGTGTTACTATGCATGCAACCTACACGAAAACTTATACTATATGCAAGTCCGTTAACTTGTCGAGGAATCATCAAGCATGTCATACCTTTTTCCTCAAGCAAAAAGAACAATCATTTCACGAAAAAAAAACCTTTTTTTTACCCAAAAATAATCAAGAAACGCAAAATTCACAACAACAACAAAACATCTCCTTCCAACCTCACCTGTTTCCTCATCTGCACGCGATTTCCAACCTTCGCACCGTTGCGAAGTACCCCATTGCATCCTATAACAAGTGTTCTGCTCGATAACAGGTTTCCCACTCCAATCACCCTTCAACCTCGGATTAAAATGCAATATTCTAGGCGGATCTTCCCCTTCGACAATTTTCAGCCCTTGAAGCTCCATCATAAACTGAGAAACCATCACATACTGCCCTTTCTTCAGCAGAGATATCTTCGGATCGGTTTCAACGTGGGCCCCCCTCGGTTTCCCCACAACCGTGATGTGGGACCCCAATGTCAGCCCACACGGGAGCACCACCAACCTCCCATTCTTCGAGAACTCTTCACCGGTCACCGATACCGAATGCGGGCATAATTCCGAATTATTTACGCGATTATTGTTACTACTAGTACTACCACTACTACCGTCGTTAAATCGTAGATTATTATTATTATTATTGCTGCTGCTGTTTTTCGGGGCGATCGATTCGAGCTCGTGCCAGAGGCGTCTGCCGACTTCGAGTGCGTCTCCGGCGGACTTCAACGTGCCGCCTTTGAGGCTCAAATTCACCGCACCGGCGGTGAAATTCAAGCTCGAAAGCGGCGAGGTATTCGATTGCTTGATGCTTTTACGGCGCGTCGATTGGTGGTAAGGGAGGTGGAGGGGGCGGATGGGGGCGGCTTTCTCCTCCAAATTCTCCTCGCTCTCGAGCAACGGAGGCTTCGGATTTAAGAACCCGTACCCGGTGCTGCTATTCGGACCTTCTTCGGAGACCGAATTCAACCCGTTTCTGAACACTAGAGGGAGTTCGAAACACACGAGGAGTAAGTACAGAAAACCTAATACGACCAGTGCCCTAATTGATTTCTGCCTGCTGACTGAAACAAACAGGTCTAAATTCGCCCGTTTCATCTCTTCAATTGCGCGAATTTTGAGTAGAGAGAGAAAATGTGCTGCGCTTGCAGATGAATTAACAGCTAGGGATTTCCACTGAAATTGTTTGTTGCTGCTGATTGGAGAATTTGTCTGTAGGGAAAATTGCCAAAAGAAACCCAACTGAAGGAGTAATGAAGAAACTTATTAGGTCACCAGCAGCAATAGATAGCTGCACCTGCAACCGCGTCTAGAGAGAGAGAGAAGAGAGAGAAAGGGAGGAGTGCTAGATATACAGTGTGTACGTATACGCGGAGAGAGAGAGAGAGAGAGAGAGAGAGAGAGATGAGAGAGAGGGAGAGGTGGTGGTGGAGGCTTTCTTTCTGGGTCGGTCACTTTAGTTTAATTCCGATTCATTTGAATTTCAAGAAAGTAAGCAAAAAGAGCTGCCTTTTTTTAATTAATTAATTCGAAGATTTATAAACTGTGTAATCGGCAAATTGAATGAATATTCGCTGAAGCATAAATTATTAACTTCATTTATGTTTATTATTATTTTAGTGAAAAAAAATAATACTTTATGATGATGATGATGCAACATGCAAGGAAGATTCGCAGCTCAAGTAGCCCAGCCAGTGTACAACTTTCACTGCACAATGGACAAGCATAACAATGCAATTACGTCAATTTTTAAATTTTTTTTTTAATTTTATAAGATAATATGGAGTGCTTTTTAGTTGAATACTAAATTAACAATAAGGAGTGAATATAAAGTGATTTTCAGTTATCTTGCCTGAAATGAGGGAGGTTGATTAATCATAGTTTAGGTTATTTTTTGCCCCGGAAATAGGGGGAAGCGTAATTTTGTACCAAAAGGCGAAATTTATCGTCACAGGGCACTCATCCCTTGGCTCGAGTAATTTTGTATAAAAAGGATCGGATAATTTTGTATCATAATTTTATATAAATAAGTATCAACTAAACACACACAGGGGTGTGTGTTGATCACTCGATGAAAAAACACCAATGATCATGCACCATTGATCTATATATATTAACACACACCCAAGTGGTCATGTGTATGCGTGTTTAGTGGGTAGTTATTGGTAGGGTTGGCAACGCTATGTGAGCCGAATTTTGGTTGGCTCAAGTTCATATACCACCGGACCTCATTATTATAGGCTCAAGCTCACTTACTGTCGAATCTCATTACTATAGGTTCAAGTTTTGCTTAAAAAAAATGGGTTTTTGGATCGAACAGTATACAAATTACATAATTTACAAATGTGCAGGCGAATGTGTTCAAGAAATAAAAAAAAACCTTCGCAGCTAAAGAGCAAAATCTAGAATATTCATGGATATCAACATAAGATAAAAATTGTCACAAAATAAGATAACACATTAGTATGTTCCTTGAAACAAATGAAATTTAATAGGTTTGTGTGAGTATTTTTTACTATATTCTTATTTGATTATTAGACTATTATCACCGCAATCACTTAATTCTTTTTTTTTTTTTTTTTTTTTTTTTGCAAATTAAAATGATATAATACACTTGTAACTTGTATGTTGAGCCATATGATTTTAAAGAATAAATATATTATAGTATATTTAATTATATTATTACTTTAATCGGGTGAGTCTTATTCGGGTTGAGCCATAGTAGACTCAAACTCATCTCATAAATAAATCGAGTTTCACATAATAGCTCAAACTCGACTCGACTCACTAAAAATTAGGTTCGACTTAAATATAATCAAGTCGAGCCATCGGACTTTAATTAAGAAGAGTTCATTTTTTATGTTTATTTATTTTAATATATCATATACAATTTACGAAGTAGAAAATGGTGGGATTAAATTCATATATGTTATGATTAAAAATAAATTAAAGTTGATATAAAATTTAGGAGATAAATATATAATATTGGTGCAATGTGTGAGATATTGGTCAACAATATAAACTAAGTTTCTGTTGTTACAACACGTTATATATTGTGCCATGAAACAGCCATTGTAATAATGAAACGTAGGAGACTGGTTTTCACGAATGATTAGTTCTATCCTAAGTTGTGATTATCTTATTAAAAATTAAGAATTAATGAATTAGTACTTCACATTTAAATATTTCTTATATAATTTAAAATTACTTCATTCTTTGCTTTTTGAATAAGTAGTTTATAAATATATATGGTGCGTTGTAGTACTGGCAATCGTGTCATGTGAATCGAGTTTGGGTTGGCTCGGGATTCTATAGGCTCAACCTCTCACATACAATCACATATCATTAATTACTATAGACTCGAGCTTGGTTCATGTGTTTTTTTGGGATTCTAGTTTATCTCGGACTTATTTTAATATATTATTTATTTAATTGCAAATTTAATCGGGCGAATCTTATTCGGGTCGATTTATAGTATGCTCAAACTTGCTCATAAATGAATCAAATTTAATAAAATGACTCAAACTCGATGAGGTTCACTAAAAATTAACTTCGTTCCAAATATAATCGGGCTTCTGTTGGCCCAACTCAATTGCCGATCCTTGATTGTATTTTCAAAAATTTCTTCTTCGTAACGAGCATGATTAGTTACCATGTGTAATATCATAGGAATATTATGTGTTTATATTAAAAGTATAAGGGGTCATGTGCATAATGTTCAAATTACTGGGGGTTGACGCGTTTATACTTGAAAGTATAAGGGGATTATATGAACAAAGCTCAAACCATAGGGGTTTAAGTGCAAAAATATAAAAAGAAAAAGTTATTGCTAGTGGATTTACGTTATGATTAGGGGTACCTTGTCATATTGGCAATTGCCAGCCACAAACTTTGATTTGTCTTTGTCCAATCCAAGCTATGTATTTATATGGGGTCAACAATGTCTTTTCACAAGTGTCATTGCCCTCACTTTTTTCTTGAATGATATTTTCAAAAATTTCATTTTAATTTCAAATTTTGTTACAAAGTTAAAAAAAAAAAATATGCGTTTAAAAAATCTTATGATATCATAAGATATTTCTCAAAACCATTATGGCCTTTTATAAAACTAAAAAAACTAAAATATATAATAATTCGACAAGTTCTTTTGGAACCATTAACGTTTTCCGGTCCAACTCATCGCACATGACTTGTTCAGTGCAGCCTACACTTCTCGTATGGTTTACAAGTTATTACACAAAAGTGTTGTTTAACAAGCGCACATATATAGTTGTTGGTTCTCTTGTCAAGCAAACACCATCAGACTGCGTTTCAATCGAAGAATTTGAATGAGTCTAAATGAGAAGTATTTGAAACGAGTAATAACTCCAAATCGGTAAAGAATTCAAATGTAACGGCACAATTGCTCAAAAAACAACTAAAGACGAGAGCTATGAATTTAAAATTATTTTTCAAATAACTCCATCCAAACAATTTCAATATTATTAATTATACATATATATGTCATTAACTTAAACAAATAACCACTTACTTTACTCATGGCTCATGCACAATTGATGGATTCTTGGTCCATCTGATTAGTTAAATGTTGTTTAAAAAATAGTTAAGTTTTTATCAAACTTGCAATTAATATTGCCATTTCATTTCTCATGACAAAGATCATTCAATCTGTCACAATTGTTTATTTAATTTTCACCCTTAATCTACATTTAACCAAATAACTCACCCAATTTAAACCTGATTAAAAAACAATGATCTTTAAACCACTAAATAGTAAATACAAAAATAAATAAATAATTAATAATTAATAATTTCAGGTAACAAAAATACAAAATTTGTTTAATTAATTTAATCCTTAATTCTTTAATTCAATTTAATTAATATATATTATAAAAAAAGATGCCTTTTTATGGTCATGCAAATACAGCTCAATTTCTCTTACATGCTCATGCTTTTCTTGCTTTTGCATGCACCAAATGGTGTTCATCAAATACCTCTTAAGCTTATGGCATTTCTTCTCATAACTTTTATACATTATATTTTTCGTTTTCGATTATTGTTTTTTTATTCTCGATCGAACGATATAATACGATGGTTAAAACTCCTCCTTGCTCAGATAAGCTGCAAATGCAAAAGGGTATTTGGAATGACGACGGAGATCGCGAACGAAATGCCGCGTACGTTCCGAAACAGGATGGAACAGGTAACTGGACAACTTTTTCCAAGAGATCAGGTATATCAATATATACATATATAGATACATATTTTTGAGGTGTATATATAAAAATATATATGCCATTAATTAGGGTTTAGTATTAATTAATTATTTATTAAAATTGTTATAGGATCAGGACAAAAGAGAAGTGGGAAAAATAGCAGAGAAAAATGGCATAATGGTAATAATTCAAAATGTGATCCAAAGCACAAGAGCTTCACAACTCAAGAAGAGGAGTTAGTAATCCAGCTACATTCAGCAATTGGTAGCAGGTTAGTTGATCTATTCAAATTAAAAGCTAATTAATTTCATCAAATATTTCTTTTTAAAAATCAATTTCTTTTTTCAACGAAAAACTCGGATTTTTTTATTATTATTATAATTTTATTATTTTATGTATTTAGGAGGCTTGGGGGCAAGATTATAAATTGTACCCTAAATTAATATGGGTGTTCAGGAGTAGCGTCCTCGATTTTTTTTAATATATTAAATGATATAATATACGTGATTATATATTTAGATTAATGTTTTTTTTAATAAAAGAAGTAATATAAGATAAATATGTAATAGCATTTAATCTAATTTAAGAAATATATTCATTAAACATATGTTCTCTATTGATTAAATAAAAATATAATTTTTAACATCATATAGCTAGACTATAATTGAAATATTTACTAATTATTCAAATATACTTTGAATTTTGAGAAAACAATATTTAGTCAGAAAAAAAAATAGTATGAAGATCTGATCATGTTTAAAATCAAGCATTAATATTTTAATGACATAACTAATTTATCATAAATATTTTGTATATTTGAATAGCATTTTTTTATATTAATTAAATTTATAAATTATAAAATAATAGAAGTTATATAAAATAAAATTTTACATATATGTATGTATTAATTAGGGTTTTTTTTTTTTTTTTTTGTATCAGGTGGCCTATAATAGCACAACAACTCCCAGGAAGAACAGACAATGATGTAAAAACCTTATGGAACAGTAAACTAAGGAAGAAGCTTTCTGCTATGGGAATTGATCCAGTCACTCACAAACCCTTCTCCCAAATTCTCGCCGATTACGGAAATATCGGAGCTTTCCCTAAAGCCCGAACCCGTTTCTCCTCTCTCTCGAAAGACATAAAAAACTCCATCGTCTTTAAATCCTCGAATTCCGAACTCATATCGCAAAACCCTAATAACAACAACAACAACAACAACATTAATCCGCACGAAAACTTTTCCCATTATTTTCACGACCATCTTTTCTCACCATCGCCCTCGAATATTTCCGATATCGCCCATTATAATAATAATAATAATCCGCTCGATCTTTACTCCCAACTCCAATCCGTGAACTTTGTCACGAAAAAACCCGATAATAATAATAATAATTTAAATTTAGCACAACAACAACAACAACAACTTTTCGTGAACAATGAGTGCGCCACGTCATCGTCGGTCAACCAAGAGTTTAGTTGGAGCGACTTCTTTCTCGAGGACGCGCAATTAGAAAACGAGGGGAATATTCTCGTTGCGCATGAGTGTGGTGGTGGTGGTGAGAAGTTGGAATCGGAAGAAGATCAAGTGAAGGAAAGGTATATTATTAATGAAGATAATAATAACGAGATTAATGCGTTGGTCGATAATAATAATAATAATACGTTCGAAGCATTGTCTTCGCCTTCGAACAGTGCTTCGTCGTTCGTGGAAGCCATGATTGAGAGCCAAGATGAGATGTTTTCGCAGCTACCTTGCTTCTATGAGGAACAATTTTATTAATTAATTAGTTAATTAATTAATTATAGCTATATCCCATATATAAAGATGAATTTGTTGTAATAAAAAAAGTATGTGTTGTAATAAGATCTTTGGTGAACAAGTTGATGATTTTAATTTAGGGATAATGCATATTTAGTACCTTACCTTTGCTCTAAATTCAATTTGAGTCATTGCCACTATAAGGTTCTATTGATTAAATAATATAATATTTTAGAAACATGTTCGATTACCGCGATTCAAACAAATTTAACTTGGCCCGCAATTAAATATTACGTAATATTATGTAACACGTTGTTTTTGTTTTTTTTTTTTTTTTTTTTTTTTTTTTTTTTTTTTTTTTTTTTTTTTAAAAAAACCCTTCCACCGGCCCCCGGGGGGGTTTAAATTTTTTTTACAAATTACCTAGTTTTTTAAAAAAAAATTTGGAAAACCCCCAATTTAAACAACCCCCAAGGTAAAAAAAAAAAAAAAAAAAAAAAAAAAAAAAAAAAATTTTTCCAAAAAAAGGCCTTTTTTTTAAAAGGGCTTAAACCCTTTTTTTCCAACGGGGGTTTTTTTTTAAAACCCCAAATTTGTGGGGGTTTTCTTGGAACCCCAACCGGAAAAAAACCCCCCTTTCCTTTAAAAAAAAATAATTCCCCCCAAAACCCTTTTTTTTAAAAGGGGAAATGAAAGGGGGGGAAATTTGAAAAAAAATTCCCATTTTTTCCCAAACCCAACCCAAA